ACATGGCTATACTGATCCACTCTAGAAACAGTGACAGAGAAACCATCCCCTATCTGAAGAGTGGAAAACATCATACAAGATTAAAGTATTTCGTTCGATAAGAAAACTCATCCAGCGGTTTGATTAACGACGAGGAAATGGAATTTAGTACCTTCTTATAGGAGTATGTTACGTATTGAGGCGATCAAGAATGTGGTCGTCCTTCTTATTTTGTCTGGTGCGAAGTCCCTTGTGTGGCTTATCGTCTATATCTCGAAGACGATCCACTGGTTCTAGTTCGTTGTCACTCGGCACATAAATACTGCCATGAGGCATAGATGGCGCTCACATTGCTGGGTGCAGTGGGTTTAGTAAAACAAAAAATGTTGGCCTGTCGTGTCACTTGTGTTTGTTCTTGTGGAGTTTCTTTCACAAACAACTAGTATCGACTACGGATACTCTCGAAGTTACCACCCACCTCACTAAAAGACACTTGACAACAAATACAGTTTGAAACCAATATATGAATATATAAAAACGCAACCCACACAGATACTCTTGAGTGGTGTAGCGTTTCTAGGAGAATCTACGAGATAGCTGGATCGGGCTTCCTATCAATGTTGAGACAGACCATGTACAGTAGCAGCTCGGCTACGAGAGCTGCGGGGTCGGCGTGCTACCAGGAAGAAAGGCTTTGTTACTAGGATGCGGTCCTGGGCTTCTATAGTAATATAGCATTGAAAAGGATTGAGCGGTGGAGGAGAAGGTCACGCAATTAAAAATTTTCTGTGTAACGCACACAGCTCCATGACCTCCATCTTCGCTGCACGTACCATTGATTTTGCCCAATGAGTCCTGCGTTATTGTACTGCGTAACATGTCTCTAGCGCCGTGGAGGGTACTCATTATGCAGGCACTTCTTCCAAGTCAGCGAGGGCTGCAACCAGAAAGGGTGTCACCACTACCACCAGTACCCACCCACCAACTAACGGAGGGGTTGTCCCATGATTTGTGAAAAACTGAACTTGTTCAGCTTGTGTACCCGTAAGTAGGGCTGGACCATGCGCGTGTAGTGTCGGTAGAGAGGTTTAAGGGATGAGGATTGAGTGTTTTGGCGAGAGGTGGAGATTGGGTAAGGTAGCAGGTGATTTTATGAATCTACATCCGATGTAGGGTCCAAATCACAAGCGAGTACATCTAACTTGTCGTATCGGGCGGTCTTGATCTGCGATCTGACCGGGGTAGTATGGGAGAGTGGCGGTCGCAAAATCACGTTGCGATCCACTCGGACACACAGTGCCCTGGACTGCCGACTGACGGAGGGGGTACTCCGATAACCGTGGGGTTGCTGAGGGCTCACCTTGTGTACCCGTCGGCGGGGCTGGCTACACTCCTCTGGTGG